AGCAACCGGCTGTCGCGCCATCCGTACGAACTTCTCACGAACCGGAGAGAAGGAGAACCTCCCTCGAGGAACGCGCCGAAGTGCCGGATCGGACTCGCGCAGTTCGAGCGACGACGCTCAGTCTCATTCCGTTCACCGAAGGGGCTTTAATAATCACGGAAAGGTAATTATCGATTTGATAAACACCTCGGTTACGTCCGGTAATTACGATCAGGAATATCGTGTGCTTTCAACGTCCAGTTACTTGAAATTTCTCCTGAGCGGCGCGTTTCCGTAAAAACAACGCGAAAAGCTTTCCGGTTGGCAGACTGATGGATCGTTAACGCCCGGATAATGAGCGCTCCGGTTAATAGTTAATGATCTGCAATGTACGAGATTAACGCATTCTTCAGCAAGATATTGAGGAATAATAATTTAATATCTGGGATTTCATTTATTGAAGATTTTTAGTGAAGTGATATATGTATCTATAATATATGTATTTATAAAAACGACGCCGGGACTCGCTCTAGCAATTAATCGAAAAGCATTTTCTTAAACACGATCGCAATCAGATTTCTCGGGATCTGTTTGGTATTTAATAATCAAGATTTCCTCATGAAGAAATATTGTGTTCTACTTTCCATAAAAATTACACACTTCACACATATGAAAGTTTCATATACTTCGAAGTACCGCGCGAACGGTTTTTTAGAGTGCCACATTTGCCTGGTGATATCCAAGCTTTCTTTATGAAGATTTGAGCGACGCGTTTTAATTCGTCGCCGATGGCGACTAAAAATAATTGGCTTTAAATAATTGATTTGTCTAATTACTACAATTGTACAATTGTACAATACATTGTACAATTAATACATTGTAGAATCGTGCTTGATTTATTAATATAAATTTTATTGATATAAATATTAACATAAATTATTAATAATAAATTAATGAATATAATAATATAATTGATATTGATATAAATTACAGATCGTATTTTACAGAGTGCTATCGACGCGTCTGCTAAACAGAGATTACGAGATCGTAATCATAGATCGTTCTATATCAATATACATCTTGATGCGCTCGCATCAAGAAAATTGCGTGAGACTTTCATATGAAAGTTTCAATTATCTCAAATTACATTTAGAGCGAACGATTAATATGTGCAACCATAATGGGTTTTCATCGAATTGTTAATTGTTCTTAATTGCTTTCCGACGTACAATCGAGATCTCTTTCTGACTTCGTCGTGCGACCGTAAGAGCGTTTCCGTTGACGGTGAAGGAACGGACATCACTCGGGGGGCGCAATCTCGCCACGGCTTGATTTGCCGCTTGACGTGCCGGCACAGGGATACCGTGTGATCAAATATCCTTTCTGGACTGGTGATTTTATGGAATTCCGCTGGAAGTACGCTCCCGTAGCTTCTCTCGACTCCATTTTACCGCAGCGCGAAATCCGACCAAGAGTTACGACATAGCAAGACGTTGCCACGCGTCTTTTTTTTTTTTCATTTTTTTTATAATCGAAAATTGTTATCATTCGTATTAGTCAATTTATAAATTTTTAAAGCATATTGAAAGTAAGAAAATCGATCATTTTGCAGAAGTACTCTTGCATATTATTAATTTATTAGTTTCTTTACTTTTACTTAATTTTTGTATAATAATTGCATTTACAGATTTATTGGACTTTGAATTGAAAAATAAATAATTCACTTATGCAATAACTCATTTATTGACTGTGACAAATTTCCTCGATTTCAAACTAGATGTGATAAAGGACTCTCACGCAATTCAATTCGTAGAAACGCCGCATCAATTATTGATTATTTTCTATTTTTTTTTATCAGAAGTTCTCTCTGATAATTTGAATTTAACGTATTGTTAACAAGAATAATTCAGAATTATTTCTTTTTGACTCTTTTCTTCCTATACAGAATTGATTGAAAGATTAATTAATGATGCGAAAAATAGCCTAAACATATTTTGCATACAGTTGTTTCTTTGTTTCCAGCGGAATCATATACAATTACACGAACCATTTATTTCAATTCTAATTGCTTTAATTACTTCCTTTCAATTGTAACGTGCTCTCTTCAAATTCTTGAAAATTTCATTTTGCGTTACTTTAAGCGACTCACATTAGTCGCTGTAGTCGCAGATTCGTCGACGTAAGCGAGAAGCGTATGGACAGATCATTGCAAGTGACGGCAATTGATCATTGCGGAGTGCGTATACTGCTCTTGAACTTGTTAATTTGTCGTTAAACACAATCTTGACAATCTTGAAGCGTACCGCAACCCTTTTGTCCAACTAAGCCGATTTGTCGGCAGTCCTAAACGAACCAATCTCCTAAACGAACCTAAACTGAATATGCAAGGATAATCTTTCTAAAATATCACAAGACTCGAGCAACCTTCGATCACTCCACGTGATCAGCAATCAGGTTTTCGACCCAGTTGGGTGCAGGTATAAACGCACACAGATCACCCAGAGAATCGAGAAGGGCCAGAACCCTTATAGTCGAAAAGAAAAGCTTTATTTTGTATAATAGAAGCTCTTGTCGATATCGCTGCATCTTAATTGAAACTTTGAGGTATGTTTG